GTACAAAATTCGTGATGGTTGAATAGTGAAGCTGTGATGGACCTCATAGCCCAAGGAGGAATTGTACACCATACCTACCAAATCCTGGTCTTGTAATTTAGTACGCCTTTTTGGCCATAACAGTTAAAGCCTACTGGAGAACATATGATCAGAAAGCCGAAGGAGCAGCCCGTCTATTTAATCGTGGTCAGTTGGGTAATCATTGTCATATCTTCGCTATAGGAAGCAATACATCTCTTGTCCCTGCTAGTGATGAAACCGGAGCCTGTGCCAAAGCGAAGCCGGATGATTAAAAAGACAAATATCAGCGCTAAGATGAGGTGGGAGCAGAAGCAAAAGGTTGTGGCAAGCAAATGGTATAAAATCACGCGATGTAAGCGATCTCGTCCCCGTCCAACCGCTCTATATAGTCCTTCTCCATGAGAGCTTCGATATTCTTTTTGATATCCTGCACCTTGGGAGGAAAGCGGGACTTGACCTGCTGAATGACCTCTTGTACGAGCTGTACGTGCTTCATCTTCTTGCGGGACTTCATGATGCGAACGATGGCAGACTGGACAACTCGATTAGTTGCGGCCGAGGCACGGGAAATACTGGGGAAACATACCTGGAGGAGCAATTTCCGGTCCTCCTCTATTGTCTTGTGGGTGTCGTCTGACTCTACCTTCTGCTCTGATTTGATCTGAATGTTTAGATTGACCTTGATCTTCTTGTTCTTGAAGTTGTAATTCAGGGAGAATGAAGTTCCAGGTTCGGGTTTGGCTCCTTCAGGGCTTGGAAGGAGCACCTTCGCTTTCAGCAGGATTCCCAGATTGGGGTCGAGAATTTCGGGGGCGAGACTGGTAGCCTTCTGGATATCGGAATAGGTTAAGGTGTCATGCTCATTGAACAAGAGGAGGATACCCATTTGGAATGTCGACACTTGGAAAGTGTACGGAACTTTCGTGTTCTTAATGTAATTTGCTTTGACTTCGCCCTTACACAGCTGCCAGAGCCAAGTCAGCTTTCGACCATTGTGTTTGTCATAGTAGAAACTCTGGAATCGCTCGTAAGTCTTGACGATTTCGGGTGGTGCGGAAAAGCCGGTTGTAGGTGGATTGAGGGGCCAGAACCCAGTTCCCAGAATCTGAAAGTGAGCATCGACCTGTTTCTTCCGATCGTCTTCGTCAAGAACCTTCTCCTGCCAATCTTTGTAGTTGGAATTGAGATCTTTCGAAATCTGGATGTCCTGGAACATGCGCTGCAACTTGTTGGTGTATTCGAAACCGCAGGCTTCCTTCAGTTTGCTGATCATGCTAGTCTCCGCATCGTCGGATACCGAGCTGACGTGTACCAGCCGCTTAGCCAGCATCTTGGAGTAGAATTTCTGGAAAACGTCCTTGTCTTCGATGTATTTAAAAACGGTCATGATCTGTACGAGCATCTCCTCCAACTCAGACTCCTCCGCAGCCTTTGAGCCCTTCTTCAGAAGAGAATCGGTGTATCGGGCCAGCAGCTCCGGCGATTTCGTCGAACTGGATTTGCAGACCTTGTTGCGGTTGACAAACTCGCGGCAGGCGTTATCCAAGGATCTCACAAACTCGGATTCACCGTTGAAAGCCTCATTGACAAGGTTTTGATACCTGGTGTGAACTTGTAAGAGCGCATCCACATACATCTTGGGTTCGAACGCTTCGCCCTCCGCCGCAACTTTCTCGACCGCAGCCAAGCCTGCTTTTCTGACATGAGTCTCAAACTTCGCCCGCAGAGGGTCCAACCCATCCTTGATTCGCGACAAAAGTCGGTACATCCGCGCTAGGTCATCTTGGCGCTCATTGTCTAGCAGAACTTGGAATTCATCCCGCAATAACTCGGAATGTGCTGTGACTAAGACATCAAGGCAAGTGTCCGTGAGACGCTTCATGATATCTGGATGCAGATACAGGCCCACGCGGGCCTTCTCCTCGTCAAGGCGAGCCTCCGCCTTCTTCATGTACTCTACCACGCTGTTCTCAGCCACGAACTGGCGGGATTCATTCTCGTAGTAGACTCTGGTCGCAGCAATGAAGGGTTTCTCGAAGTATACTCTGTAAACCTCGAGCGTAGACTTGGTGCTATCATTCTCGTCCAGACCGAGAGACACAAAAGAATCTACGATGTTCTTGATTTGCGACTGCTCGATGGTTTCGCCGTTTCGTTGCTTTTCGATCAGATTTAACACGGCCTCCATGACCTTCTCATGGACCTTCAGGAAGAAATCGTCTTTCCATTTGACGAGGTGCAAAGTGTACACATCGTAGACATTCTTCTTGCCCTCGTCGATCTCCCTCTTCACCCAGTGGCGGTTAAGGTACCGGAATAGGTGGTTGACATATTTGGCAGCAGTTGTGTAACGAATCCATTCACGAATGTAAAACCCTAACAAGGCTTCTTCGGTATGGCTTTGGGACTCTCTATACACGGCCTCAAGGTGGCGTGACAAGTACTCCCCTAGTAGCTTGTATAATTCCTCGCCCAACAAGTGTGCTGCAGTAGAAAAATCGTCAGAACAATGTCATCACAAGCCGACATACCATTCTCATAGGGGACGGGAAGACAAACCACCACGATGCGCCTGTAATCCTTGCCCGTTGCTGACTGCCTTTTGTGATGTGCAAAAGTTGTGTACGGCGCTAAATCGCAGGGTTAGTCAACTCGGGTTCAAAAGGAGATGAGAACATCGGTTCGGGCATACGTGTACAGGGCCATGTACTACATCAGAACGTCGCGACTGTCAGCATCGTTTCACAGAAACAACCTGCTTTCCACGACGAGGAGAAAACTGGTCAGAAATAAGGGCAGAGACATACGGTTTTCATATCCACACCCTCCTCCAGCTTCAGCATAACACTGTCGATACCCTTCTCTAGGAATGTCCATCTACACGAATTAGCCCAAATTCCGAGTCATAGCCATATGAAGTGTATCCGAAAGGCGGTGGAGCTCGAGGTGTCGATGTAGGCGAACTCACGTTTCGTTAAGGTCATCCTTGTGAGGAGTCTGGGGCATTAGAGGAGGCATAATGCTTCCTGGGGCTCAAAGATGGGAGGAGTTCGATCTTGAGATGACGAAGCAGTGAAGGTCAGCAGATGAGACAACGGTCACCGGTCCAAAGCGATCAGTTGGCGTCTACTGGAAGGGCAAAAGTGAAGTAGAATAGTAAAACCAAAACGGCAGAACTGGAATGCTCACTTCGATCGCCAAACGACACTGTTTGAGCCTCGAGACGTTAAAGGATCTTGCAGCGGCAGAGGGTGAGAGCGCCGGCGGTAATGCCTTGAAAGACCGTTCAGGAAAGGCGGCGCACGAGGCAAAAGAATGAGGGTAGTAAAAGCCAGCTGGGGGACAGGCCGAACGGACCGACAGGCAAGCACTTGATAACACGACCAAGAGCAAGACACCAGGACAGAAAATCAGGTAACACGCGTTTTGACGAAGAAAGGAAGAAAGAGAGCAGGCGTGGCGTTGGGCGATGGTGGAGAGTCACAGGCGTGGGGATGATGGATGCCACCTTAGCGGCAGGCGGTGAGCGAGCTGAGGCGCCTACGAGGCTAGGTGCCTGCTAGGCATTGATCTATCAACTTCAGCGTGAAGACCTAGATTTGACCTGAGGAAAGAGACCTTTTAGGCATCAAGCGCAGAGGATTCTCAAGAATCAAGAACCTAATATAAAAATCCAATTACAGAGACATCTTTGCGAACGTTGTTAGCTGCACAGATCATCTGAGGCAGCGAGGCTTTTGTCGAACTATTAGGACCTAGTGCTTAGTACAACTTCTGGCTCCTGCTTACTGGATAGCTGGACTCTTCTGTAGCTACCTATACCTATACCTATACTATATACATACATGTAAAAATCACATACTCTATGGGCATCAGCACCATCCGGAAGACTCGAACCGTGGATTGTTTCCTGATAGACAGCTGATAGCATCACGGACTTGTAAGCCGGGATGACGTCATGTGTGGCCTCTATCAACAATTAAAATACCTGCGATGGAGAGCTTATGTCTTCTGCTTTGCTTGTAATACCATAATCACTTACTCTTGCTTTGACTGTAGTCTGCAAAAGGGATTTGTTCAACATAAACTGTCATCTATAAGCTGCTCTAACCAGTGAGTCTCAAAATATAGTACAATGTCCTTCAAAACTCCATCAGAAATCCGGGTCACCTCGCGCCAAATTCCCAAGTGGGAAAGGATCCCAAACACCTCAATCCAATCAAAGCCCCTCATGATATATCACAAGGCATTCAGCGCATCTCCCAACCAGCTCACCGCGCACTTGGAGGAAGTTGGAGAGGTTACTCCCCAATGGGTTTATAGCATGTATAGCCAGACACACTTCCACAGCACGACCCATGAAGTCCTGGGGGTTGTCTCAGGACGTGCACGTCTCTGCTTCGGCGGGGAAGACAATCCGAATCGATTCGAAACGGACGTCGAAAATGGCGATCTGATCATCGTCCCGGCAGGTGTTGGCCACCGATTGTTGGATGAGCTCGACACTGAAGAGGAGCGGTTCAAGATGGTGGGTGCATATCCGAAGCAGAAGCAATGGGATATGTGTTATGGACAGTCAGGAGAGGAAGACAAGGTCAAGGGCATCAAAGATTTGGGCTGGTTCCATAAAGATCCTCTGTTTGGAGACGATGGCCCTGCGTTGCATGTCTAATGCTAATTGCGTTGCGGGTCAAAGAGAGCTGGTCAGATCGTTGGTTGCATTAGATCGTTAAATTTTCCGCCGTATAGCGCCACGCCCCATAAATCATGCCGGCTGTAGTGTACCAACAAGAAGATTAACTTTCCAACGTGATGGAACGAAATAAGCAAAAATACCTTAGATACCACAAACAAAAGAAGCATATCAAGCAAAAGTGAGACAGAAAGGTTGAATTCAGGGAGCAAAAGGAGCTCTGGGCGTAGCAAAGTTCGTTTAGCAAAAAAAAACTCAAACACGAAGGCAATTTGAAGCAAGAGTTTCACTGGGCAACTCGCTCAACGAGTCTATTATCAATGAAGACTGTCAGCACTGCGTATTTAGGAGAATAATGGCGGTGTCCTACCTAAGAACACTTATTGCAAAGGTCATAAGCCAAGCCAACAGAGCAACCAGCAGGACACAGGCAAGTGCTATTTGCCTGTCGCATATCGCATCATTCTTCTCGGAAATGTGCTGATTGATCTCTGCTAGCTTACACGCCCCGCTGACCGTGGATAATGATTCGAATGCTATACTCAGGTTTGCTGAATCGAACACTATAAAAAATATATCCAGGAGAATCAGTCGAGCCTTTGCAGCTGGAGAGCGTAGCCCCAGTGGTTTGGCTGTGTATTCGTCCCATGTGATGTAAACCAGATAGACGAGGGCGACCGCATCCACAATAATAGCCATCAAGGCGGACGGGCCTTGGGCGTGTTGGTACTTGTCTGAGAGATGCTGTATAGATCCTCCAAGGGCAAGGGCAGTAAGAGAGAAGAACCAGACGGTGAGCCGAAAGACCAGCGGCACTATAGGGCTCTTCAACAAAGTGGTGTGGAAGCGCTTGAACCAGATCTGTCTGCGTCGCTTCATCTTGAGCGGATCCTCGGTATCTTCACTCGGCTCCAGTTGCCCTCGCCATGGCTGCGAGAAGTCGGTATGGTTCTGATCCAACCATTCAGGCGTTACCCGCTTCTCTTCAAGGTCAGGTTCTAGGGGATAGGCGATTGCCTTTGAGAAAGACTTCCACCGGGATTCGCGACGTGGGCCTAAGCCAGTCTCTTCGTCAAAGCCTTGCTCTGTGGTATAGTCTGGTCTCGACGTCGCATAGGGGGAGTGGTTATGTTGGGCAACGAGCACGTCATCGGGTTGCGGAGGTAGTAGTCTTGCTGTAGCCGACGCCTCGGCTTCATCGTTCGCAGTTTCATAAGATCGAATCCATGCTAGACGTGAGCCAAGTCAGTCAGTCTTTCTCCTTAATCTCCTATTGGAAATGCCGGTGCCTATTTACCAGGTAATGTCCGCAATTTGTTCCCCAGTTCTAAACCACCAATATCTGCGACGGCGTTTTCTATAGCTTGCGAGGCACCAGCCGACGCATCTAATGTGCCATTGCGTAGAGGTTCTTCGGAGCGCTTGTCTTTCTTAAGTCCGTTTGTAAGACTGGTTGGCGGTTCTAATGACTGTGGGGATTTCTCTGTGATACCGACGTCCAAGGCATGCTCAAGTCTCAGAGGCTGCTGTTGGGAATCGCGCACATCCTGTGCCATTGCCCTCCAAAGCAACGATTACTCCCAGCGAGGATGCGTCGGACTCTCGGAGTTTGCGGGCAGACGATGGATCCAGTCTGCATCGCCTCGATTCCCTGTGGTAAAAGGAGGCGCAGTACCAAGAACCGAGCTATCGGAAATTTTTATTTCTGAAACGAGTGTATTGAAGAGAAAATGAAGGTAGAGGAAAAGTCAAATACTGCAGGGTTGGAGCCCATTACAACAATCGTGAAGAGGTTGGGGACACAGCCCGACAGGCGTTTGATGTTCCGAGGCGATCAGGTTATTATGAGGACATGACGTCTCGTAATAAACCTGCTAGATTAGCTAGTAGCAACAATAATACGAACCACGAGGTATCTACCACCAAGCTCAACAAGGACAAGTCCTCGCTCCAACGATCTTCTTTTGCCACAGACAACAGAAAATATATCCTTGGGGTCAATCACAAAGAGCAAAAAGGCATGCTACTTACACAGACACTCTTTGATCGGTTGACCTGTCAAGCCAATCGATAATCGTCCCGAGCCCCCTGACTGCGAACAATTCCTCCGAGCACAAGTGATTAAACACTGTTGCACAACTAATCTACCATCATTCATCTGGCAATTTCGCCATGCGACTCTTCGTGGTGCCAATCTCGATGCGACGAGCGTTGATCTACTCTCGGCCCCTCAGCAGGGATATCGCCAAGGAGCTCTCGGTACTTGATCGCGTCACGAACAAGGCCGCGGAAACATGGGCTAAATGGGAGGAAGCCGATAAAGGGTGGAAGAAACACCTTGTGACTTGGGGGAATAAGGTCCAGCAGCGCATCCCTTTTGAAGAATGGGGTCTGAAAAGCATTCCTTCTCTCAAGGCCCAGAGGAGACTCGATAAGTCGTCGGAGACGAAGAAAGTTGACGTCTTGTTCCCCGGAAATGCGATCAAGGCAGATAAACTTCGCTCAATTCTCCAGAAAATAGCGACAGAGAGACAAGACTTACATCGCAGGAAAATGTGGTGGAGTTTGGTCGCAGCTCCGTTCACAGCTCCAATTGCGTTGATTCCGGTGTATGCTTTCTGCCTCTCAGAGTACGAATGATGATGGCGCTGACTGTTTTCACAGCGTCCCTAATATCCCTTTCTTCTATCTTGCGTACCGAGGCTGGTCGCATTGGCGAGGTCGGCCCATCCATCCTTCAGGCAAAGTCATTTCTTCACTGACACATCGAAGCCTTGAATGGTTCCAAGCATCTAGAATACCTTGTTGAGAAAGATCTACTCAATCCAATCTCGTTTCCAGGGCTGGAGCAACTATACGCAAAACGCGTAGCCCGCGTGCTCGGGAACAATGACTCCGAGAAGTCCGCTTCAAGCATGGTTGAAGAAGTGGAGCTGAGCGAAGACAGGCTGTTACTCGATATGGCCGACGCTAAGAAACTGGCTTCCATTCTTGATGCGCCGGAGCTCGCACTTGAAGCTGAACGAGCTATCTTCCAAGTTGGCGAAAGTCTCAAGGCACAACATCAAGCTGCCAAAACCGATCATGGATCTGCCACGTCGAAAGAGAAGAAGACGTGAGGGCATATGAATGGAAACTAAGCAGCCACAGAAACGTTATGACACGATTGTATAGACTACGGACTTGTATGATCTCCTCTTTTGCTAGTTATAATGCACCATTATATTGAGTGACATTTTCTGAGACTAGGTGACGACAAGTACCTTCACACAATTTATGTCTTTTATGTTACCTGAAAACTTGCTTAATGATCTTCTGCTTGACTAGATATATAACTAATACTAATAGAATAGAATTTTTTTGTGATTACAGGAAAAGCAGGAGGGTTGACTTTGCTCCTACAAAGAGGTACACCACAGCTATAGTCCTTGGTGTCTGGTCCATGTCATAACAGCAACATATCGGTAATTCTAGCTACGTTTCTAGCACATATGACCATAGGGGGTGGAAAACAGGGCTTCCTATCTACTCAGCTATACTTAAGCCTATTATTAAATATAGTAAATTCTTATAAAGCCTTTCTCCCCTAAAATAGTAACCTTAAGTTTTTAGTTTAGGTACTAGTAATATAGGTAAGGACTTTATTACTTCTTATTATCCCTCTAGATAATAGCTTATAAGTAGTAATAAAGAATAACTTTACTAAGTAAAATATATACTAGGTTACTAATTGTTAGGCGCAGCAGACCAGTACATGGCAAACCGCAGGGGTCATATGGGTTACAACACACACTGACCTTTTTTCTGCTGGACCACGCCGACCTTTTTCCAACACATGCTGAGCTGCAAGCCCGTCGTCAAATGCATTACTCACCCCATGTTGGCATGACTGCCGAGAGATGATAATCAAGCAAAGCAGTCCAGCTTGCGTTTCCTGCTTGGGGTCCGCTCTTGGTCTCTAACGAACATAAAGGAATCGCGCTCATTCAAATATGCTGTAATACACTTCCAGAGTCTCGTATCCGCAACAAAGGCTGGCTTCATTTCAGTAATCATCGTCAGATGCCTAGACAATGCCAGTCGCTCGGGGCCCACACATGAGAAATACTGGCTTTCGTCCTTAGCAGACTCCCCGGGCCCTTCTTCAGCTTTCCCAAGGAACGATGAGATCTTCTTGAACTCTTCTCGAGTTTTCAGTTGATTGATGTGACTGAACACGTCTTGGTTGCTGAACAATTGTACCAATTTTGAAAAATATACGTAATCCTGGAGTGAATCGAGATTCACTAAGCGAAGAAATGCCCAGTAAATACTACTGCGCGAGAAATCAAGGCCATTTTGGTCATTGAAACCATGCCCAGCAACAAAACCTTTGGCGAAAGACTCTCTCAGGAACGGCTGAATACTATCACGGGGGTGTGGGAGCCCAGGACAGATAAGGAGCATTGAGGGAGGAACGCAAGACGCGAAAGCCCAGTCAATAATGCAAGTTATGTTGAAGTCGTCATCCACAAAGACGTTCTGAGTACTCAGATCAGGATGGTAGAGTGGAAAACCCGCGCAGTTGAACTGATTATCATTCTCAGCCAATGAAGGCACCCAGTCGGTCATGGAAATTCCGACTAGAGCATAGTCAAGACGATTCTTCGTGCTTTCAGTCTTTGATCCCACAGCAACATAATCATTCCAGCGATCAGTAGCAATTCTGTAGTCCTCATAATTGTCATATTCTTGCGGGATGGGTACTGGACCATGAAACAGATGATGCTCCATAGGAAGCTCTTTCACGTGAGCGAAGAACGCACGTATTAGAGCAGTGTAGAATTCGCCTGAAGTTTTGAATGGACCTCGTGGTATTTCATCCTCATTGAATTCATCGCGACCCTGGAGAATTAGGCAGGGTAATAGACACTTTCCTATAGTATAGACTTCGTTCTCTGCAAAGAGCGAACCGACATGATCAAACCGCAAATTTGACATTGATGCCTGTAGTCCGCCGAGTTGTTCCATGACCTTGCGCTTCTGGAAGGATGTTAAGGTCCTCTCCGAGTCACCACGCACATGGGAGGAGTGTATTTTGTGATGATTGCTCCAGCCATATGTGCTTAGCGGCAAGCCGGGAGCCTTACTCATCAGGATATAGGGGATGCCAGTGGGATTTTCATCAGTAGCGCTAGTGAAGCTGGTGTTACTATCGGACCGTGGCCATGAGTCTCGAGAAGAGATAGAACTCACCAGTAAGAAAACACTTGCGGAACAGGAATGCTTCCAGTTTTCTGGAGATAATTTAAAGTTGCTACTTCGCTTGCAAGAACTTGGCTTGCGACGTTCTTCTGGAGCCCATAGGCCTTCCGCGGTGACCTAAAAACCCATTCCACTCCGTCGTCCTCGAAGGTGAGGAAAATGACCCAATTCAAGCTACCACTCTTTGGACGCTGAGATTCATCGCATAAGCATGACTTCTTTCGAATGCTCTGAGCAATTGAGAGGAGCGCGGCAAGATTGAATGTTGCGTAAGCATAAATTCTCGCTTTCTGCTGCTTGCAAGCCATTGTGGCGGGAGGAAAGAAAGTCAGACTTCCCCTTGCGGGGTAGAATGTGATGTGACTCGCACAACCCTTGTCACCTGGGCGGCAAAGAAGCCTATGGCTTCCCGGAGAGGCTATATAAGGCCTTGAGGGAGCGACGCTTTTCTATTATGCGACCAGCTCAAAGTATCCCGCAAAGATAATGCCTCGTCGCCGACCACAACCAGGGACGCCGCCTAGTGCATAGAATTAACATGACCTGAACACATTCATTTCTCGAGATAGTATATGTCTCTTTTTCTGCTTCAGCAGCTGTGTCTATACCACCCGAAAGTGAATCCGAGCTGCTCAGGTTCAGCTGAAGAAAGAAGGCGAAGTAGACCACGCTTCTCCAAATCCTGACAGACTGCTTTCATCGAAGAGAAATCTCCTGCAAATTGTCCTTGATCAACATGACGACTGTCATCACATCTGTCGCTGCTGGGCCGCGGTCGGCTGCTTATTTCGTCGTCGCTGGTATTCTGTCGCAATGATGCCCACCAGTTCCCAAGGGTGTCCCGTAGCCCACGAGCTATGTTACCAATAGCCACGTACCAGACGGTCGCCGAGACCATTTGGTCATCAGGCTCTCTCTCGTTTATTCCTTCTGTAAGGAGCCTCCCTGTCTCTGCAGCCAATTGCGCAACCGTGGCATACTTATTATGCCAACATCTGTCGATAATATCGTCAATCAGCGGATCACCCTCTAACCTCGGAAATTCCATGTTCTGCAGTAAGTCCACGACCTTGGGTCCATGCTCCCTCGGATCGTCTGTAAGACATCGATTCCCATATACCTCGAAGCCATAGTTTATGAGATAATACAAGGACCCTAACGCAAACTGCTCTGTCCGAGGGCCTAGAACACCAGACGTTCCACGTTGTCCTTGGTCTGCTTCGCTGCTATTGAGCAGCCTTCCATATGGAGCCATGCAAGCTTCGAACTCTGTCCCAATCTCCGCTGTACAATCAAAATCGGACAGTTTCAGTTGGTCCTGGTCGAGCAAGATATTTTCAGGTCGCAAGTCACCGTGGGCGAGGTTGAGCGATTCAAGGAAAGCGACGGCCTGAGCAAGATCATTCATCCATCTCTTTCGCAGGGAAAGAGGCTCCAGTCTTTCTACTTTCGTGACCATCATGGTTTGCTGATCCCGAACCTGGTTGTTTTGTATTCGGGAAGACAGAGATACATCTAGAGACCAGTCAGACTAATATTTATCAGTAACCGAGTAGGGACTCACCCCTCATGTATTCAAGGAAGATGCCATTATCTGTGTATAAGAAGCACTGTACTATATAAGGGCAAGGGGCATGCCGTAAGAAAGTTTCGTAAATCTTGAGTTCTTTGCGAAATTGCTCTCTCTCGAACTCTCCAGACTTCGGTACCCTGACCACAATGTGAGGATGTACTTCGTACACGAAAGATATACCACCTCCCCATATCCAATGCACGTCAGGAAACTGGTGTTGGATATCCATGGCATCAACGCGATGTGAAAAATGGTTTTTTGAAGGGCAGGAAAAACAATGCTGAGAGTTTGGGTTGAAATTTGGGCAAAGAGAAGGGAGGCTACTATTTATGTAAGGGGGATGTTGGCGGAACGCCCCACAACTGTCGATCACCAACTTTATTTGTTTGAGACCCACCTTGATTCCTTCCATCTTCTGTCACAACTACATGCTACATAGTAAGGTACTATCACATACTTTGTCTTTCTGAATCACAACACATTTGCCTACCTCAAAAATGGCTCCTCCGACGAGTCCTCCTCATCACCCAATCATCTCACGCACGCGAAGTCTCAGAAGTGCTTCTTGTAAATACACCTGCTATCCAGCAGGTTCTTTAAACATACCTATGAACCGCCCACATCCACGATCCATTATCTATGCAGGTGTCATGCCCATCCTCATTGTAATGACCTCCTGAGCAATATCCCTCAGCCTGGACGCGTCGAGAGAAAGTACTGTGCTAGGATCCTGGCCAGCTATTACCAATGGCCCGAAGAGCTGGCCTTTGGTAAACTCAATGAGTTCACTTGCGGGCAGAGGAACCGGACGGGGAAATATTGGCTAAACTCTTTAATATTAGCTTTCCGTCGTAGACCCGAGACCTGAGATTGAAGGATACTAACCATTTCTGTAACACCGAGGCCTCTAAAGTCCCCTTGACACGATTACCCGAGACCTTTGTCCATCTTATTAAGAGGACCAACTCTACAGACGCGCATCCACGCATCCACAAATCCTTATCATTCCGCAGATGCGGGAAGGATTCAGACCAATCTGCCAGGAAGTTGATTGCCACCATCCAAGCAGGTTTATGTCTGTCTCAAGGACCTTACTTTTCAGAACATAAGGATGGTTAACATTTGAGATACCAGGATCCAAATATGAGGATTTACCTGTTTTGCATGTTCGTGAACTTGCTCCACCGCTTCATTTGGTCTTCGGATGTAAACTGGCTCCTCAAGAGTCCTAGCCCATTCTCTCAGTGTCTGGTATACTGCATCTGCTAAGGTAAGTATCTCGCCGGCGATAGTTCCAGGTATTGTCCGCGACGCTAACCTTTAGGGAGATTACATATAACCTCACTGTCCTGGTCTTGGATCAGTATAGGCCCTGTGCTAGCATCTTCATGATGCATCTGGTGCTGATTTCTTTAGTCTGTGTTCAAGGTTCTAGAATCAGGAATGGCAGAATGTAGAGAAATTCAGTCAAATAAGCTGGTAGATGGTAGGAAAGAAGCAAGTTGAAGTTGGTGAATTAAGAGTACGGAATGAATGAGCTCGCCTTGGAGGGAAGATGGCATAGAGTGAATAGAGCAGGCAATACAAATGCGGTATTCACAGTAATCTAGATCTGGATTAAGAATTATCATTGAAGCCAACATGTATTTATGGCTACAGTAGTGAGAGGCCCCATGCTTCCTAGAGGGTTATTCACTTCTGCTTCTCTATTTGGAGGACAGAACCACAATATATGTTCCAGGTGAATCCCTGGATGATAGTGAGGTCAGTAGCATTGAAGAGAAATCCACCTAGATCATGGACAGCAACGCCAGCAGAAATTGTTCTGATATATTCCGTCTATTCCACTCTGAATGGTCAGCATATGTGCTCTTCCTGGTTTCTAACACTGACACAAAGCACATGGCTTAGATCCGAGGCTAGATAAGATTGATAAGATGGCCAGATTCATGATTAGTGATCATCCTTTTCTCCCAACATCTGATCATGCATGAAACTATGCGCTGAAATAAGGATCGGTATTGATATTCCAGGTTGCGACAATGGAGGGCAGAGCCTCTAGATTTGGGACAAGTCTCTTTGAATATACAGAGCGCATGGCGTACAGGCCCGCCAAGTCACGGTCACCTCTTGTGCGCGGCCGAGGTCCGAATTGGTTCCAAATCAAACCAGTGGCTCCTTTATCACGGGCACGGCGAGAAAATAAATTAGTGCTACTCTCCATGATCTTTGAAGCCATGGAACCCTACAACTCCTAATCAGACCTGGCATTTCTTTAAATTTCTACGTGGTAAGTTTCGCGGACCTCCAAGCTGGGAAGACGATTAACATTTCCTTGATACAGCCTGTAAACAGAAACATGGCAGGGCCTTGCCATTCAGCGGAGTTCGAAAAGGCAATCAATGTCACGCCGATCGAATCTCACACATACTCGGCTTATCTGGACCCCAAGTGGTGCATCTTGAGCGGCAAGTTCGACCTCCCGAGGCATATGGATGGTATCTGTTAACATGCCGGACAGTGCCTCATGGAGGTTACACTACAAGCATTTTCTATCGACTAGCCACGGTGTACTTTAGAGAAACGAAGAGTAACCGGTTCAAAACCACACCAGAACCCATCGGAATGCAGTTGTCGTTCCTCCGACGGACAGTCGTGGGGCCCGCGATCTTGAGAGTACAGGATATCAAGATAGGTGCACGGATAAGTACGATCCATGTCACACTGTCTCAGCGACCGGACAGGCCTGGCACAGCGGGTGACAAGGATGACCTCGAAGTGAAAGTCGTCGGATATGTCACCGTCAGCCCCCCGGACATGGAGGAGGGCCCGATCTGCAAAGGCACCTGGGGGCTCTCCCCACCTCCGGTATCCGGCTCCCTAGCAAATGGCTCGGTCAATCTAGCAGCGTTGGCAGCGAATGGAACGGATGGCGCGTGGATGCGGTTGCCTCGTCCACCGCCTGCCTTGACCGCACCACAGCATCTAGAGATCTACGCACCACGCCCCCAAGGACCGATGACGCTCGAAAGTCGGCAGAAGCAAGTGGTCGACCAGTGGGCGAGGTTCATTCCTGGTGGGACAACAGTAGCGCGCTGGTCGAACGAAGCAGTTATGTTCTTGGCTGATATGTTTCCCGCGGCACTTGACCGCATGGGTGCAATGGAAACAAGCCGGGTCCAGGGGGGCCAGCTTACAGGAAACGCCGAGGATAAAGGGACATTTTGGTATCCCACTGTGACATTAAACATTGATCTGAAGACCAGGATTCCTCCCGAAGGCGTGGAATGGTTACATTCGCGCATAGTTACCAGGATGCTTCGTGGTAGCCGCGCGGACTTGGATGTAGTCATTCTCGATCCACAAGGCGAGCTGATAGCTCTTAGCACGCAAGTGGCACTTGTGGTGAATGCCTCTCGGAACACAAAAGGAAGGGCTAATTCTGAGAAGTTATAGACTGTCTGAGTACTAGTAATAGATAGAGGAATAGATTAGGAGATTCAAATCGTCGCATATTCAAGCGCAAGTTGTTCAGAAGCGAGGTGTAGAAAAGACCTAGAATGTACTCAAGTTGATGTAACCAGCATGGCAGTGAGACAGAAGTTATTCAAATGACTGAGTTGATCAGACAAGGGGCACCTGCTTGGCTGTTCGTTAAAGCATCAGGTTCAAGAGCCCTGTCCAACAGACTGGGTACAATTTCAGCGGCTTTAAAAGTGTATCATGGCGGCTATTTGTCCTTTTTACCATCATCCGTGAAAGGCAAATATCAATCAGATGAAATTGTTGAAGGTCGGACCGAGAGAATCTGATCCAGACCTTGCAGATGGAGCCTGCTTGATCGATGCATGGTAATAGGCGGATCGTGGATCATCTCTGGATAAATTATGGGCGGTGCGTCAATCAATCAAAAATTGGTCTGTGCGCAAACGCGAAAACCCGCGTCCTGCAGCCTAGACAGCGGAACACTCGCGTCAAAAAGGGAACAGGCATTGCATTGCGTCAGGCATTCCTGCGCAAGGACTGACCTTTTTTTGTCTTTGTCTCTCACATCTTGGATTATTTAATTTTGAGGCTAACCGTACCTCTGATAGAGCAAAGGAAGACAAGGTTGTTATCGCCAGACCGGTGCCATAACGCCACTTTGATCCCATTTTGAGCTTTACAAAGCAACTCATTGGGATCAGACAGAGAAGAAGGACATGTCTGGTGCAGCTACTCAAGCTAACTCCCACCGATACATACGAAGATAGCCCTGAGCGGCAAAACTCTACGCAGCGTTCTTCGTAACGACCAACGAATATGGTCGATCAAGAATTGAATCCTGCCATGGATGAGCTGGAGCAGGGTAGTCCTATGCCCGGGGTTGAAAATGGAAAGGGGGAGCACGTGGAGGACGTTGAGGAGATGGATGCCAAATCGAAGGCTCTGATGCACCTTTTGAATACAAGTGAGGTATGTTTTCCCTTATATTATGCTTTAAATATCATCTTTGTTTTGCCCTAACTTATGCTATTTTTACTATGGGATGAAGCACTGACTGTTGGTCACTATCGTAGGTCTTCGTGGCGATCATGGCAGATAAGATGAAGAAGCAGCAGGAAGAGGCTCGGCTTGAAGCGGCAAGGCAGCAGCAGCAACAACAGCAAAAGCCGACAGAGGATCAAAGGAACATAACCTCCACAGGCTCGATTGGGAGACGAGAAACGCGGGCAAGAGCGAAGCAGCCTTCCGCAGACGAGACAACACCTGCTGTGAGCGAGCAACCAGATGAAAAGACAGCCACGAGGTCGAGAAGAGGCAGAGGCAAGAAGGGTACTTCTGCGACGAACGGTAACAGCATTGCAAGTTATTTTAAGAAAGCGGATATGGAAGACCCCGAAGACAAGCCGACGGTGCAGGAAGCCTTGGAACATGCTGCTGACGAGTATGAGGCCAATCCCAGTGCTCTAGGCGGGCAGGATCTTGTCGCCACTCAGCAACCAGAGCTTGTTACTG